GTTCCCTGGGAGTGGCAAATGCTCGCACTTTCAACGGCAAGCGTGCACCGACTGAAGCCAGCGTCGTACACTCAGCGGGCTGTTGGGACAGGCTTGACGTGCAGGCTGAGAGCCATTGCTCGATGCGAAGTCGAGACCGCGCTGAGGGCATTTCGATGACATAAATCACCGATGCGATCGTCACGTTTTATTGTATGCTGAGTCAGAGGACCAAAAGAAGAGTGGGGAATGCGGTTATAATTCCAAATGGAAGTAGGGTCAATGGCGCGCGCCCAAACAGGCAATGATCGGTGCTGAAAGCCTGAATATTGCACCTTTTTGCTTTGATTGTCTTGTATTGACTAGACAGTTCGTCAATGTTTTCAACTGGTCTCCTGAATGAGAAATGATTTCATGCTCACATGGCTTACCTGGCAAAGTGAGACGCTTAGGAAAAATTCCCTTAGCTTTGCGAAAATGATACAAATGCGAGGCAAAGAACTCTGTCCTTAGTGTCTACTGAAGGAAGCACTGCTCTGATTGTGGATTCATCCTCTACTTGGAGGAATTAGGTGTGTACACAAGCTCTGGCGCATCAAAACTGTAGCCTTTCCTCGAGACTAGGGACCTACTATTCTATCCGTGTGGCCAGATGCGCCCCAAATCAGTACCGGGCTGGAACAATCGGTCCGCGAAAAACGAGATGAGCATGCATTTAAAGGCAAGCCTCGCGATAAAAATGGGCGTGAAATGCGTCCAGTATACCACCTGGTTCTCGCATCACTGAAAGGGTTAGATGTCATGAAATCCCCGCAATACAACCGCGGCCGCAACTGCGCCCGCGCTCTTCTCGCACCATCACGTGGCCACTGCGGAAGGCAGGGCTTGCAAGCCAAGGTGTGGATTGCGGGTCGAATAGGCTTCCACCGCCTTTGTCTCGAATTTCCAAGCCACAAAAGGGGCAGGATAAAAACCCTGGTTTGCCGGTCTACTACTCTAGGGGATGGAAAAGGTGGGTGTGCCTAATCCCGGATCGTGCCTTTAAGTGTCATCACGGAACTACCACAATTGCATTGTGCCTAACCATCGACAAAGAATCGGAGCAGAGTCAACCGTGGCGTTTGATAGATTACAGAATTACGACCTCTCCCTCACCTTCGACCTATTGTTTGGATGGTTGATTAAAAATGGTTTAACTTAAATCACAAAACTCTTTGCTATTCTTATCTTTCACTGCCTCCACCACCGCATGCTATCTCTTTTCACTTGCCTGTCTGCGACCTATCTGCAATCAACACTTCCTTTCCCACTACCGCAGAACTTCCCTTCACTTTCTCGCAGCAATCGTGCATATGTATTGGAAAATTGCCCTCACTGCCACTGGGCTCGTGGCGGGCGCTTGTGAGCCAGCTTCTAGGAAGTAGACTGTTGTGGATGGTATGAGGGGAGGAGTCCCGTGGCGGTCGCGGTGTAAGGCGACCGGACGTCCGCGTCCGCGCCAAGCGTTGCGTCGCCAGGGCGCTGCCGTCGGAGGATGGCGGCCCTCGGGCGGTCAAGGAGGGGTGCAGGGCTCAGGCCCGAAAGGGAGCCGGCAAAAACCCCGCGCGACGCAGTGGCCGGATCGCGCCCGCGAGTGCCCACGTCGTCACGGCCTCTCCGATACCTTCAAACCTCCAACCGTTTTTTGCTCTGTTGGTGACTTTTTTTGTGCGGTAGGAGTCTTGTCGGGATACCCATTAAAACCACAAAATTTCATCCATGTACGGCTGACCCAGATGCAAGGGATACCATTTTTGCGGCAAAAGTCGCTGCAGCGCGGTCTACTGCAGACCACAATTTTGCCTCTTCTATAATGAATTTATGAGATATCATTATAGTGACCCAAAGTGGTGAGTCCTGATAAGAGCTGATAAGGACGGTTAGGACGTGACTACGATCACCCATGTTGCGCCCTTAGCGGTGACAGTAGAACATCTGTTCTTCGATAAGGTATAGGTAGCTGAACGGGAACACTAATGGTGGATGATCGAAACTGGCATCGACTAATATGGGATGAATAATATGGCGTTTGTGTATAAACCTTGTCGAGCTCGCTATTTCCCGGACCGTACAGTAGAACATTGACTTTTTCGAGAATTATTGCGGGTCGGACGTAGATGGTGCGTGATGGAAGGTGGTAACGACTAATATGGGCTGATACTGCCGCTACAATACGCATGTGACAAGATTGGTCACGATTCTAGAAATTTGGACATATGGCTCATACTAATGAATGGCTAAGGTGAGCAGAAGTTGATGATGGGGGACAGTGGGGGACGATAGAAAAGCTCACTGGCGGTGCGGACGCGATCACGTGCTGATGACCTCAATAGTTGCGACAATTGCGACAAGGGAGGAGCAAATCGCTCAACAGTGATGGAGTTGCTGGCACCTTACGAAGCTTTGAACCCCTCCCAGCAGTTATGCCATAACTAAATGATTGTATCACGTATAGATCCCGTCCTCGAGGTATGGAACTGCAGATTTTTGAGAAATATAGATGAATTAAAGCCTTTATCGATAAACCCTTGCCTCTGTAGTGCACATTCAAGTCGAAGTCAACTATAACAAACTCGCTCTTCAATTTTGACCCTGCTTACCACTACTTTCTGCTAGTGGACTTAGAGGTAGTTAAACAGTCGCAATACGTAATGAATGGAGGTTTTGGCGACAGCGCTCTCTCTCGCTCCTCCCTCGCGGCCATCGTGACATCACAGTAACGTCACCAGCACGAGCTGTCCGCGCCGTCGCGGCCAGTTTGCCACGTCGTTTGCCGCGCGCGACCCCAGGCGAGCCACATGTGGCTGCGTAGCAACAGGATCGTCCGGAGACCCGCGCGTGTGGTCGCGGCCGCGGCATCGCAACTGTAGTGGACGAGTTGAGCGTCACTCGACTTGAATTTCTATTTCTATTTCTCGATTTGAATAATTTTTTTTCAAAAGGACGCTACACCGACTCCTTCCTTTAGCATACCAGTCAATGCCATGGCGAGTGTAGAGGGAAGTTCGAAAGTGTAAGGTTTTCTGAAGCTCAGGAGCTCTACTAGGAGTAGTAAAAACATGCTGTTGCTTCAGCAATGCAGACTTTCGGAGTTGATGGGATGGCTGGGCCAAAAGTGTTAACGTGGACTCTGGCAAATCTGTCACTCCAATCAACAAAGTCAATTATTGCCGCGCCCATCGAGAACGTGCCGAATTACGGCGCCGCGCAAGTAACCGCGCGCGACGGCGCCACTCCCGGACGATCCTGTTGCACGCTCCCCGCCAGGGTCAACCCTACCGTTGTTACTTTTTTCTGGTCAAACGCGACTTTTTTGCCTTCAAACGATCATAACTTTGTTCAATGTCATTCATTCGGGAAGCTGAACAGGTATAACAAACTACAGGCTTCAAGCTTTCTAACGACCCCCTAAACGTCCCTGAAAAAGCAGTGGTTTTTTCAGGAACGTTTAGTGGGTCGTTAGGAAGCCTGAAGCCTGTAGTTTGTTATACATGTTCAACTTCCCGAATGAATAACATTGAACAAAGTTATGATCGTT